CGGCAAGCAGGCAGGGAGCGAGCGAGCGAGCAAGCGGTCCGCCGGGCCAGGCGCGCTAGAGAAGCAGCAGAAGCGCCGGCCAAAGCCGCCGCCGCCGCCGCCGCCTCCGCCTCTGCTCCTGGTGCGGCCCGTGGGACGCACGCAGCCGTCCCTCTTCCCGGGAGCGGCGTCCCCTCCCTGCGCCCCTTCTTGCGCCCGCCGCGCAGAGACGAGCCGCCGGCCCGGCAGGATGCCCGCGGACCTGATGGAGAAAAGCTCCTCGTCTCCCGTGGCAGCCACCCCGGCCAGCGTCCACGCCACGCCGGACAAACCCCGCACCGCCTCCGACCACCGCAAGGTAAAGGCGCCGCCCGAGTCCGGCGGGAGGAGGTCAGGCGGGCTGGGGGGGGCGAAGAAGGGTCTCCTCCTTCCTTCCTTCCTTCCTTTCTCGGCGGGTTCCGGGGCTCCCCGGCTGGCCCTTTCTCTCCCTCCCTCGCAGTCGTCCAAGCCCATCATGGAGAAGCGGCGGCGGGCGCGCATCAACGAGAGCCTGGCGCAGCTCAAGACCCTCATCCTGGATGCCCTCAAGAAGGACGTGAGTGGCCGCCTTCGCCCTTCGCGCCTCCAGGAGGAAAAGCTAGACGGGGCCGCCGCCGCCCCCCCCCCAAGAATGGGAGGCCTCTCCCTCTGAGAAAGCGTGCCTCGGCGCTCCCCCTCCCGAAGGACAGGCGGGCCGTCGGGGCTGGGGGGTGAGGAGGTCTCAGGTGGACAGAAGGGCCGGCCTGTCGTGTCTGCGACCAGACCCTTTGCAAGGCTGAACGGGGGGGGGGCTTCTCCCCCCCCTCCCCGTCTCCTCTGAAGCAGGGCCCCACGGCTTTTAGCGGGGCTTCCTTGCAAGGAAACGGGCGTTGGATTGTAGCTGCTTTCGTAGGGGGGGGTCGAAGCTCCGCTTTCCCGGCTGGTCCAATATGCCAGGAGTCTTGGCCGGCAAAGGGCTGACCCGGTGAGAGGACGCCTCCCCCAGGATCCAGAGCTGGTGCTTCTTCTGGCCCAGCCTCAGGAGGGAGGAGGGAGGAGGGAAGGAGAATCCCTCCCTGCTGCCAGGCTCGCTGCCCTTGAAGGCCACACACACACACCCTCCATCCTGTTTGGAAATCCCTGCCTGGAACCAGACCCCCTGAAAAGAGGCTTAGACTTGGAGAACTGGGTGGTCTGG